CAATTGTTGACACGATCTTGATAATAGAACTTAATCTTATCCGACACTTTGCTATGAAAATATAAACTAAAAACTTCTATCTATTGGGATTCTATGAAAGTTGGTCAAAATTAGCTCAAAAAAGTGAGATCAAAGTTTCAAAATGACAAATCTATACCTAGGCCTACATTAGCTTCTAATATCTAGCAAATTTTTCATGAGCATAAAGAATTGATTCTACATGATCCGGAGCCCATTCCACAATGCAAAAGTGTTAGTAAATATTCACAGCTGAAATTTTGACGATGATTGAAAATTTACCAGTCAGAAGTTTTCAGGTTCATATTTCTTGATCGTTTCAATCATAGAAACCGCAAAAATTGAGCAAAATAGTCAAATTTTAGTATTCCAAAACTTTTGAAAGTTAAAAAATGTCATTAAAAACTTCGTGAAAACCGGTCAGTCCTGTTCCAAGTATTGACAAAACGACATCGTGTAGCATGAATTCTACTTAAAAAAAATTCCAACCCTGATCCACTAAGCACTTTTCTTATTTAATTTTCCTTATGATTCGCTCATATATATATTCTTTCTCTCTCTCTCTCTCTATCTTTTACTTACAATTTTTATATTTGTATTGCCCAATATTATTTTACTAAAAGTTTTATTTGATAAATGAATAATTATTATGAACATTAACAAAAAAAAGTTCATTGCTTTCTTTTACTCAAGTTTTTTTTTCTCTTTTAAATGATTGTCAGCGGTTAATAAGCATGTTTGCCTGCTATTTGTACCATTGAGATGTACGCATAATTCAAGGACATTAAAAATATTCAAATCAAATGAAAAGTCTCACTACAAAACTAACAAATATAAAATATGACGTGTTTACGGTTTGCCTGAACCGTGATACTCGAATCTCAAAATTCATACAGCTAAGATGTAAGAAGAAAAAATGATGAGAATTATTCATATTGAAGTTTTTACAATTCATTAGGTTTTCAATCGTAACTTTCTAGGATCCTGTAGAAAGTTCTTAATTTTATAAGGAATATCCTGGTTTTCACATCCTCTGAAACTTTCATACTATTAAACTGCATGATATACAATATGTTACAAATGATTCGTGTGTAATATGTTCAGAAGTTTAACAAGCTTAGATAATTAATGTAACGAACCATGAAATGAAGAAACCAAAACGATGTTTACTATCGATTTTATGAGCCTTATTGCACAATGAATAATTGTGAAGAATAAACACTACTGATTTTGGGCTTTATATGAAAATGTCTTTGTTATTATCATTTAATTGACAATCTTTATCTCCATTTGTATTAATAATGTTGAAATATGATATTGTATACTTTCTTGTCTTTGACATAAATAACAATGAAAGCTTTGAGAATTTAGAGATTTACATCATTCAAATCCATCTTGTTCACGCTTATACTATGAAATTCTCAGATTTTGTAGATGATTTATTTCAATAGAGAAAAATAGAAAACTTAAAAAATTTTATTTTATAAAATGTAGTGAATAAAAGAAATATCAATGAGTATATTAAAGCTGTTGCTATTAGAGCTGAAATATCAGTGATAGACTTTGTTTTTCTTCACTATTTCGCATGACTATTTTACAACAACAATTAACAAATGCTTTTATAATATGATAAATTGAGTTTTACATAGATAATTAATCATATTGTATAAATAAGAAGATAGCCTTGAAGTTGAAAATAATCTTTTATTGCCATTATTATGCTTTCTGTTAGCAATGTGACTGTCTCTGTTTGTCATTGGTGAAAATGTATGCTTCTCTAGTGATTGTGACTGATATACAACGTTGAGAGGTTAGTCATGAAGGATGATCGGTTAAAAATCGCTTTTTTTTCGAGTTTTCATTCTCTCAGGCTAGACTTTTCCAGTTCCAGCCAATCATCTCTGTCTATTGAATGTCAATTTGAAGAATTTTCTAAAAGATAGTTTATTTGTTAAGCTATAATGTTCTCAAAATTCAGTTACTTAAAAGCTTCACGAAACAAAAAAAAAAGTTGTAGTTAATTTTCGAATGTCTAGATAAGTTTGATCGATTCTTTCTTTCTTCTATCCGAGTGAGTTCAATTTTTTGACAGATTCATAACTTTCTTGTTTTTTTATTCCAAAGATCTTTTATGCATGTTCACTTATATATCATGTCTTTATTACATGTCAAATAAGATCGACAACGACTAACACACTTTTTCATGCTAAAGAAATAAATGATTGCTCTATTCTGTACACCATTCCTAAAAGACTAATAAGATTTTCGAATATTTTATAGTTATTTATTTGAAAAGTTTTTTTGCTATGACAATTATAAATAAACTTCCTTTACATGGTGTTAAAATTCTTGATTTAACACGTGTTTTAGCTGGTAATGATTGTTTTTTTTTTAATTTTCTTTTTTATTATTAATTAATATTGTTTTCTAAGGACCTTTTGCTACTATGATATTAGCTGATTATGGAGCAGATGTAATTAAAATTGAAAAAGCAGGTATATGAAAGTGAATTTTTATTATTTGTATTGATAGATTATTATTTTAAAGGTCAAGGAGATGATACAAGAACATGGGGACCATCTTATGTTGAAGATCAAAGTGTAGATTTTTCGAGTATAAATCGAAATAAAAAGAGCATTGCAACGGTACAAATGGCAAAGTATTTTATGCAATCGTCTAAGATTTAAATGGTCAAATAAAAATAGCTGCTTTTAATCAAGAAGTTGACCGTTTATACGACTGCATGTTTTTAAATCAAGTTATAAATTATAAAAAAAACTCTTAGGACAGTCCCTGCTGGATTTAAATTTGTAACGCGATACAGCTCTTGGTACTAGTCACACGAATATTGTTTATTTCGATCTATTTTAGGATCCATTTTTTCATCATTTTCTACTTAGTTCTCTTAAAATGCAATAAACAAACAGTTTATATACTTTGATCAGATCCTAGTCATATATCATGTATAATAGAGTATCAATAAATTTTATCACGGTCTGTTTAGAGAAGGAGGAATTTCTATTCTATATACTTCAACATTCCTTTTCGACCGAGTTTCATAAAAGGTTTTACAAACTATTTATTATAGACAGGAACTATTCAAAATGGACAAATACAATAAGCAAATCAAAGATATCAAACACCATATTCTATTGATGAAGCTGGAATGGAATCCAACCTTATGTTGATGCCAAAGATCATACTTGTGGATACGTGCATGAATGTTTATTCCAACACAAAAATACATGTTCATCTTTTTCATAGTTCACTTTCCTTTTCATGTATTCAGATACTTTGTCATATTTTTCTCCAGCATATATAGATGAATTTTCATTAAAAGCGCATTTTCTTAGTAAAACAATATCGTGTTTCATTTCTATGACATGTTTCCGAGTACAAAAAATTGTTCAATCATGATTGAACAGGTTTCAATTCCTATGCTTTTATGTAAATAGCAGGCTGAAAAATGCAAAATATTTTGAAATATCAAGATATGATTAATTGCCGGATCAGGTGCTGAATATGCTCACAAATCTGCACCCAATCCGATTGCAGGGCACTACTTTTCACTCACATACACACCCAACCCACCCATACGCATCAATATTACATATGAAATTTTATTGACAATGGAAATAATATAAGAGAAATGACAACAGATTACAAAAGCAGACTTCTAAACAATTAAACTATTGCTATTGGAAAAACTAATGTTCTAATGTCTTTTAATCGCATATTAACTGGTCGGATTCTTGTCAAAATCAACTAAATCAATTTTCATATTTTGATAGGTGTTTCAATGATTTGACGCATTGATACAAAATCTGTTCTGTTTGTCGTCCCTGTTAGTGTAGTAGTATTATTTGTGGTTGCAGTATTCAATGGAGTTATTCTTAGACGATTTTGTTGACGACTACAAATGAAAATACATTTGAATAATTTAATTAATTCTTTTCTAAATGTCTTTGATACTAATGTATTGGAATAAAATGACATTGCAATGAAATAAATAAGTAATTCAGTTAACGTTTTCAAAAATCCTTCAATAGCTTTACGATCTGTTGATTTATCGGTTATATATTGTGTCATTGTGCTATAAATATTGAATGACATAAATGGAATTGTCGATATGATAAATATTGTTACTTGTATTAATAGCATAAATATTACTTGTTGATCTCGTTTTTGTTTTCTTTTACTTAATTCATTATTAGAAAGTAATATTCGACGTTTTGTTCTTTTTTGAAAATTTTTCCATATAAATAAACTAGATATGAAAGCAATGAGAGATGGTAATGCACCACCCATAATTATTGTATAAAAACGATGATAAATATCAACATTATTATTAGTTACTGAACAAGCTATATTTCCTGGAGGTTGAATATTAGCATAAATAATCATATGAATTGGTAATATAAACCAAATAATATTAATTATAATAACTATTATTCGAGCTGTTTTTACAGAAGATAAATTCCGAATTCGAACAGAAGTTGAACATGAAAAACAACGATCAATACAAGCCATAACTAAAAGCCAACGACATGACATAGCACTTGTTTGATTTAAATAAGATCGAGCTTTACAAAAAGTTGAAATTGTTGTAAATGGATTTGGAGATCTATATAGAGTATAGATTTGTGGTATTATACCTATTGATAATAATATTATTGCACTTATTGATGATGATAATAAATCTTTAATAGAAAACAAAAAAATAATAATAATAATAAAATATCTATTAACGTTTTTATCATTGAATAAACTTACAAATACAACATGAATTTGATCGTAAATTGCGTCGTGAAAAAAGACAAATATTTATTAAAGAACCAATTGTACCAAGTATAAATATTGTCGTATGACAATATTGAACTAACATTTTTTGAGCTAGATTTAATGTATTACTTAATGATGACATATTCACCTTTTTTTCAATATTGTTATCTAGAAGTTCCAACAAATGCTTTTGATTATGGTGAAACTGAATTGAAGAGTATTATTAATAATGTTATGTTTTCTATTGATGACTTGTTTTCTGACGTCAAAACATTTTCCATATAAAGTGAAAAAAAAAGTATTTCCTACAAGTTAATTATTCTAGTATTCATTTCCAGACATGATTTTGAAGTGATGACATGCTTTATTTATTTTCAATGATACAACTATTCTTATTTTTTTTTTCACTGAGAGAAAAAAAAGATAACCAGAACGAATATAAATTGAGATGTTGCCATTGGATAATATTTATCTTTTATATATAATCTATTCAGTTTTCAATCAGAACCTTTTCTTCTTTAAACTCGATTAATGCTCTCAATATGAATTATTTTCTGCAAGAACTTTTTCACACTTTCAATCATCGAATTTTTCTTAATTATATTTCATAATTTTCAATTATTTCAATTTTATTTTAAGGTGAAATCCATGCTTATTTAGATAATATTATGTTGTCAAGTTTCAAATATTATAATTAAAAATTCTATACTCTCGCTTATTGAAGTGTCTCTTTATTTATTGTCATCACAGATGATAACAACAAATTACTTATTTGGCACTTTTTGATAATTTAACAAAAATTAATTAGAATCTTATTTGAAAAATTCATGTTTTTTTTATAAAAAAAAGAGTTAAGGAATGAATTGATAGATAAACATAATTGAGTTGAATATTACTCTTGATGAAACTTGACATATCGTAGCAAAGTGTGTGGATGGCCGTACATTGGTCAATATTAATCGAAGTCGAAAGATTCGAACTGCATCCACACCCTACATCCTCATTGTCATATTTAATAAAATAAAATAAAAAATATCTCTTCGATTTAAAATTGCTTTGTATCGTTCTCAGAACTTTTTATTAACTCCAACTATTTTCCATAGTATAACTTGCAACATAATATGATATCACAAAATTTATAATTTTGTCCACTCAGGGAATAAAAAAATGAAAAAAATTTCGTTTAAATGATTATTTTCAAACTTTTCTTCAAAAAAAGTCCATTAGTTTAATTATTTCGCAAAAATCAAACTCATCCCGATAGTTTCATTATTTTTTAATCATTTTCATTGCCTTAAATTGTTTATTCTAGAATCATTAAAATTACTTCATTGATTTCATTTTTTTTTTGCATGATTTTCATCAGATAATCTTCATTTTTCTGAAAAACTATAATAATAACAGTGTTTTCATTCCATTTAATTATCTATTCCAGATAAATTAAAATCATTCCACGAGTTTTACTTTTTTCGCATTATTTTCATTAGATGATCTTCAGTTTTTTGTGTACTCAAAAAGTGAGTACACTATAGAATCGGTCAGTGTGGCTAGCCGTTTACACAATAACTTTTGAAAGGAGAGTCCGATTGCGATGAAATTTTCTACACAGCTTAGTCTCAACAATATCTCGGTCGAGAGAAGAAGATGAGAAGGATTGGCCGAGCCGTTGCTGAGTTATTGGGAAAATAGTCATTTTTCCCTATGCCTTCCTATGCGAGAATCGACCTATCCCTGCTTTCGTAAAAAACTTTTCCTATTATAGTCAAATAAAACCCGAACTATTATACACCATTCGATAGAGAATTTCACGAGCTACAAAATGGTATATAAATTATAAAGAAATAAGAAGACTAACTCACCTATTGCAAGGGTAATTAAACGGGAATTGGTTCTGTTTGTGCCCACACTCTAATTGATCCACAATTAGAGCTCTGTCTTTCGATCAAAGAGATGATAGCTCGAGGTTTTCTAGAGCGGAGAACTCGAATCTGTACTCCACTTGCCTCGAAATCCCATTGGTTGAGCAGTGACCAATAGAAATGAAGTTATAGGAAAACCGACTTTCTTAGGGTAAATCAAGGCGAAGAGTTGAAATCTTCTCTGTATTCGTCTCCAAATCCTATTGATTGAGCAGTAGCCAATAGAAATCAAGCGTATTATAGAAAAGGTTTGCCAGGATAACTTCCCTAGTCGACTTTCCCTAATGAAATCCCCAGGGAGTCCCTACAAATTGTGAAATCCCTGAGAAGTCCGTTACGGGACTCCCCCGGGAGTTAATCAAAAAGCCAGCAAATCTGCTGGAGGGAGTTTTTTGGGAGTCCTTGAGGAATCCCTAGGGATTCCCTGGACGATCATTTGAGGAGTCCCGTAACGGACTTCTCAGGGATTTCACAATTTGTAGGGACTCCCTGGGAATTTCATTAGGGAAAGTCGACTAGGGTTTGATGTCCACACATTCTAGGATGACTCATCTGTCTGATTCACTTTTCTTCAGTACACATAACTCTCGGATTTAAATCCGAGGTTTCCGCATTTATTTTTTTATAAAACTATAATAATAAGAGTACTTTCATTATTTTTGCATTATTTTTATTCTATTAAATTCTCTATTCTTAAAACATTGAAATTAGTGCATTAGTTTCATTACTTTTGTATCATTTCCACTTCATTAAATTGTTTATTTTTAGAAAAATTGAATTCATTGGATTAGTTTTATTTCTTTGCATCATTTTCATCATACGATCTTGATTTTTTACAAAACTATTATAATAAGAGTATTTTGATTATTTTTGCATTATTTTTATTCCATTAAATTGTCTATTCTTGAAAAATTAAAATCACTGCATTAGTTTCATTACTTTAGCATAATTTCCACTTCATTAAATTGTCTATTCTTAAAAAATTGAATTCATTATATTAGTTTTATTTGTTTTTCATCATTTTCATCAGGTTATCTTTTGTTTTTTACAAAACTATTATAATAAGAATACTTTTATTACTGTTGCATCATTTTCAGTTGATGGCTTTGATTGTTCTGGTAAAATCAAAATGATTATATTACTTTCGTTAGTTTTACATCAAATTCAGTCGATTATTTTGATCACTCCAAAAAATCAAAAATCATTATATAGTTTCGTTAGTTTAACATCGTTTTCATTCGATGAGTTTGATCATTCCGAAAAAATGAAAATGATTAGATTACTCCCAATTACTTTTACATAACTTTCATTTCATAACTTCGACTATTCTAGAAAAATCACAATAGTTATATTACTTTGATTAGCTTTGCATTATTCTTATCTATCATTTTGATGACTATCTCAAAATCAATATCGTTGCATTACCTTCATTACTTTGCATCATTTTCATTTCATCAATTTGATAATTCATCAAAAAATTGATGATTTTCAATCTTATCTTCACATCTCTCCTTACACATACAGGGTGGCCCAAAAGTAA